TAAGTAAAATTTTTCAGAAAACTATAAAAGTGAAAGTTTTAAAAGGATCAATATAATCAAAAAAAAAAAAATAAAATAAATCTTTTTATTACAAAAACCTCTATCAACTTCTTATTTTAAAGATTAGACAGGCCTTTAAGTACTTTATAATCAGTTTTTTTTCCTTTGAAAACTTTCTTGCTATTGATATCACAGATATTACTTGATTTTTCTTGATTACTAAAGGTCAAGTTTTTTGAGTAAAAAGATTTATAAACAAAAAAGAAAAGATAGATATAACTTTTGAAGTCATATTTCAAGTTGTTTTAAGAAAAGTATTAAAACTTTATTATCAAAAAAATATAAAAACTTCTTGTAAATATCTTTTTTGTATATAATTAGAGGATCAATGAAAAAAGTTTTTTTAAATCTAAAATTTTAATTATTATTTATAAATAGAAAAGAATACTTATATATTGATTCTAATAAAAATATTTTAATCTAATATAAGATAAAACCTGGATAATCAGAAAACTAAATAAAAATATTTTTTTTGATACCATGAATAATAAGAAAAACAATATTATTGCTAATTTTGAAATAAATAGAATAATTAAAACCTTTCCAAGTTAACCAATTTTCTGTTATTTTTATAACCTGATTTTTTTATTATAACATGGTAAAACTTGAACTGGATCAGATTAGGTAGTCTAAATTAGTGATAAAAATTTTTTCTTTGTAAATTCTTCAATTGTAATACTCTCTTTTTAAAAGTTTAAAAAGATGTATTATTAAATAATAAGTAATAAAATAATATTAATTTTTATATAGCAAAAACATTTTTATATATATTAACTTAAAAATTAATCAATAAAATATTGCATATATTAGATTTTATTTTTTAAAAATTATATTTTTAATTTTATTTTCAATAAAAAACAAATTAGTATTATAAATTCTCTGTATTGTCAGAAACCTAAATCATTACAACTAATTATCCGCACTCTGACAATTAACTTATTAGATTCACATGGTTTTGAAGAACTATAATAAAAAACCAATAATTCCGTTTGCACAATTTAGTTGAGTAAAATTAAGCACGTATATACTATACTATATATACTATTTTATCTTTTTCGCATACCCTCCTGATGTCCTCTCCCGGAAATAATCTAAAAATGTTATTTTGTCTTGCACACCTAAATTAGTTTTGCGCATTCTACCTATTTGCCCCATAAGGTTCCATATCTGGAAACCAACTACATCCGATTGCTTTGAATCAGAAGAAACAGGCGATGAATTTTGTACGTTTGAAGCCATCAAGTTTGAAGATAGTGGCTCTTCAAGGATTCTTACGTGAAGGGTATTAATATACTAAGCATAATATAATAATTAAATGGCTATTATATCCATAAGAAGGTATCCTTCAAACTGAAAATAAACAACATACCTGACCACAAAGCCTCATAAA